AAAAAAATGATTAATGCAATTTGACAGTTTTGATGCAATGGTTTTTCATTCATTCAGGAAACATGAACACAGGAATAACAATAATCATCAATACATTTTTTTGTTGATATTTCTCAATCATACAGTGATAAATCATAAATGATAATAAAAATCTGAACTTTCAAATAAACATCAAGTCTCTAGCAGCTTTTTAAAATGCATTATAAAGATTATAAAGTAGCTTGCACACAAAATTCACACGTATTTTCATTGTCAACAAACTGATTTAAGCTTAATTGAGAAGTTTTGAAGTGTACAGGTGAAGATTTTCAAATTCAAAACCAAATTTAAAACTGCTTGTGTTTCCCAGTAGTAGAATTGACATTTGAGAACCAAAAACCGCTTGACAGCTCCCATACTTAATAGTCATAATAATCTAACATACCGCCAAGTTGGAGAATACATGTATGTAAATCCTCCTCTTTGTGAAATTCTCCCTCAATAATCGTTGTCTTTGGCGTTCACTTGTTTCTGGATTTGCTTCAGTCAGGTTTTCTCTCCCTTTAAAGCCTAGTGTGTTGTTCTTCACTAAGACTTCTTCGGCGCTTTCTTTTTCTTCTTCTTGTCTTTTCTTATTCAGATAAAGATCGCTTTCCATTAGCTACCCGTTGATTTTCGACATTTTTGGCTCAGAAGTGAAGTGATTCAAAGAAAAAATGGAGTCGTTTTCGTCGTTGGTGAAAAAGTTGTTTTCAAAAATTGACGCGAGCGCGCTTCTTTTTCCCGCCAAAAGCTAGTAGCCAATCAGAATCGCGATGTACACGGACGGACGTACGTACGCCGTACGTACGGAAGGACAACTGGGCTTCCTGTGTCGGTTGATCAAAACTCAGCCCCATCAGAAGTACATGTACTTCTGGCCCCATGGGTATACCATTTTTCCTTAGTTATGGTGCTCCGCTCGCGCGGGCCTTCGGCCCGCGCGGGAGCTCCGCTAAAAGAAAACCACATTTTTAAGAACGCTTTTGACTAGACATACACTGACAAGATCAACCATGCAGAGCAATGGCAAGTTCGATTTCTACTGGTTTCCAAAGAACTTGCCAACAATTTTTATTAAAAAAAAAAACACATAAATTTTTAATTTACTGTTGTTTTATTTCCTTGACTATATGAGAAACTGGCCAATTTAAACCAAGATTGTGCCACACCAACAAAGGTCTCATTTACTAATGTAACAGAATTGATCTCACGTCAGCGAACTATTGCCCGACGACAATCAGTGAACATTTCAAAATATTGTCAACCATTCCATCTGAGAGTGTAAAAAATGTTAGTGGAGATATTAATGGG